GTATTGCCAGCTATTGGGGGGGAGGATGCACAGATCTGTCCTCACAGAGGAGGGAGAGGTTGTACCTGAATAAAACTTGGTCTTAAAGGGCCACTGGACTGTTTTGGGCCGGGGGGGGGGCTCTGCAACTTACCTGGCTGCTTCTTGCTCTGACTGAGGGCTGCTGGGAGCAGTGGGTGGGGCTTGTTGCATGTGCCCGCCCCCTGGGCTCTTTACTGCCGGAGCTCCGCTCCTGTGCGCTCCGGCAGGAAATGACCCCTGTCTCTATCAGCTGGAGATCAGTTGTAAAAACGGGAGATCTTCAGGCTCCACCTGGAGGCTGGCAATCCTACGCCCTGGCCACATAGGGCTTTGAAGGTAAGCACCAGCACCTTGAAGTGGATCCAGTACTCAACAGGCAGCCCGGTGCAGCTTTGACTGTCAAAAGCTCATACCCTGGAAACCTCGTCAGTCTCTAAGATCCTATTGGACTTGCATCTAGCTGCTCTACCGCAGACTAACACGGCTGCCCCCTCCTGAACTTTCCCTCTGGGTGGAAGTCTCCCTCCGTGCATCAAAAAGAAGCGTCGGTTTTCTCCCTCCTTTCAGATGAATGGGGAAGCACTCCTGTACCCGAGATCACAGAAGCACTCGTGTCGGAGCCATGTTTGCAGCTACAGCTGGAAGCACACGGCGCGTTTGAACAGATCTGAAAGTTACCCTGAAAGAGGCTTTGATTCTTAGAGAGCACCCAGAGTTCTTATGCTGGAACACAAATTCACGCTTGTCTTTCTTCAGGGTGACAAGATTCCTGCTTATTTTTCTCTCGCCGTTAGAGTCAGCCAAAGAGATGCGGCAGGTTTATGAAATAATGCAGCCTTCCCAGGGGTCATTTCCTGCAGGAGCGCACAGGAGCGGAGCTCTGGCAGTAAAGAGCCAAAGGGGCGGGCACATGCAACAAGCCCCCACCCCCTGCTCCCAGCAGCCCTCAGTCAGAGCAAGAAGCAGCCAGATACGTTGCAGAGCCCCCATCCCTCTGGGTGGAAGTCTCCCTCTGTGCATCAAAAAGAAGCGTCAGTTTTCTCCCTCCTTTCAGATGAATGGGAAAGCACTCCTGTACCCGAGATCACAGAAGCACTCGTGTCGGAGCCATGTTTGCAGCTACAGCTGGAAGCACACGGCGTGTTTGAACAGATCTGAAAGTTACCCTGAAAGAGGCTTTGATTCTTAGAGAGCACCCAGAGTTCTTATGCTGGAACACAAATTCACACTTGTCTTTCTGCAGGGTGACAAGATTCCTGTTTATTTTTCTCTCGCCGTTAGAGTCAGCCAAAGAGATGCGGCAGGTTTATGAAATAATGCAGCCTTCCCAGGGGTCATTTCCTGCAGGAGCGCACAGGAGCGGAGCTCTGGCAGTAAAGAGCCAAAGGGGCGGGCACATGCAACAAGCCCCCACCCCCTGCTCCCAGCAGCCCTCAGTCAGAGCAAGAAGCAGCCAGATACGTTGCAGAGCCCCCCCGGCCCAAAACAGTCCAGTGGCACCTTTAAGACCAAGTTTTATTCAGGTACACGCTCTCCTTCCTCTGCGAGGACAGATCTGCACGTCCCCCCCCCACCAATAGCTAGCAATCCAAAACAGTCCAGTGGACCCTGAGCGGTGGGTGTTGCCTTCTGACACACTTCTGGTGATGTCAGGGGGTCTGGCATATGCAAATGAGTTATGCTAATGAGTTATGCTAATAAGCTCCTGCACCTCTGTTTCTACGAAATGACCCCTGCAGCCTGCAATACCTATCTACCAGGGGGGGGAATGGATGAACACACCAAAAGCAAGAGTCAAGTCCGGCAGCACCATAAAGGCCAACGAGTGCCAGGGTACAAGCTTTCAAGAGTCAACCCTCCTTCCCATCATGATGTCTGACAAAGGGAGCGTTGACTCTTGAAGGCGTATACCCTGGAAATCTTGTTGTTCTTGAAGGTGCTACTAGACTTGAACCTAGCTCTTCTACTGGCCTTGGTTAGAACTTGGACGGGAGACCATCAGGGAAGTCCAAGGTTGCTACGCAGAGGCAAGCGAGGGCAAACCACCTCTGCTCATCTGCCTTGACCTGGATGTTCCAGGCTAGCCAGATCATTTCAGATCTCAGAAGCTAAGCAAGGCTGGCCTTGGTTAGAACTTGGACGGGAGACCATCAGGGAAGTCCAAGGTTGCTATGCAGAGGCAAGCAATGGCAAAAAATCTGCCTTGACCTGGATGGTCCAGGCTAGCCAGATCTCATCAGATCTCATAAGCTAAGCAGGGTCGGCCCTGGTTAGAACTTGGATGGGAGACCATCAAGGAAGTCCAGGGTTGCTATGCAGAGGCAAGCGATGGCAAACCACCTCTGTCCGAATCTTGCTTTGAAAATTCTCTGGGGTCGCCGTACGTCGGCTGCATCTTGATGGGACTTTACACCCACCCACCCCCATCATTCACTCCATATGAACATTCATGTTCATGGAGCACGGAAATCATCCAGCTGGTCAATCCCCCCTCCTCCAACATCTCAAACGTGGTGAAAACATCTCCTCCTGACCTTGCTGGGGAGATCTTGTTGCTTGGTGCTGAGATTTTCAGGCATTTCCCAGCAGCGGGTGGAGAGGTTCAAGATGGCGGTGGCCGCCATGTGCGCCGCCTCGGCATCGTGGGAGTAGTCGAAGCCTGTGGACGAAGACGAAGTGCTCTTCACGTAACTGCTCGAGGGACTGTGGCCGGGGGAAGAGGCCTTTGGAAAAGGTTTGGCTGCAGAAAGGGAGGAACACAGGGGGGGGATGGTGACGCACGGCGGCAGCAGAAGGACCCGTCCGCAAGTCAATCAATCCGGCGAACTCGACTTCAGAGCCAAGGACATCCTTTCAAGATTTTGGTTTGACACAAACATATGACGCTGCCTTATACGGAATCAGACCCTCATACGGAATCAGACCCTTGTACAGTTCCGCGGGGCCTGCAAGACGGAGCTCTTCCGCCAGGCTTTTGAGTAGGAGCTGCCGCCGTCACTATACCACCATCGTGACTCGACCCTACCATCTACCCTATTTTTGGGAGGGGGGTAGATGTTGCTCGGATGAGGAACATCACTCCTGGCGCTCATGCCACTACAACACCGGCCGCCAATGAGGGACATCGTGCATCTTGGGAAATTTAGTGAACTGTAGAGCCCCATTTTATGTATTAATGTTTTAACGTATTCCATATTTTATTCCGGCATCGCCGCTTGTTCGCCGCCCTGGGCCGCTTGGGTAGGGCGGGATATAAACCCCAAGTAAATAAATAAATAAATAAATAAAATCCCATCAAGGACAGTATTGTCTACTCAGACTGGGAGGGGCTCTCCAGGGTCTCAAGTGGAGGTCTTTCCCATCACCGACTATCTCCTCCTTAGAACTGGAGATACCCAGGGCTATTTTGGGGCAGGAACGCACAGGAATGGAGTTCCGGCTGGCTCCCGAGTTGGCCACGCCCAGCAGGAACTCATTAGCATAATAGGCCACGCCCAACAGCAGAAACTCATTAGGATTGGCTACATTAGGGTGTGTGTGGCCTAACATGCAAAGGAGTTCCTGCTACAAAAAAAGGCCCTGGGTTTGGACAACAAACAAGGTAAATAGAATAAGAAGCAAAAGGTGGGTGTGGCTGGATGACCACACTTCTGGTAACATGGGGTGTGTGGCCTAATATGCTAATGAGTTTCTGCTGTTAGGTGTGGCCTATTACGCTAATGAGCTCCTGCTGGGCTTTTTCTACAAAAAAAAA